ATGTGTGGCAATAAATGTTTGCATTACATTCTCTCCTGATATCTGTGTAACGTAACTGTAAGTGAATTTGCAAAGAGGTGTAAGAAGCACGCGTAAAATTCCTTCTGTCAAACCTGTTATAGACAGTGCTGACTGACTGAGTTTAGTTTTACGCCGCTTTTAGCAATATTCCAGCAATATCACGGCGGGGGACACCAGAAATGGGCTTAACACATTGTGCCCATGTGGGGAATCGAACCCGGGTCTTCGGCGTGACGAGCCAACGCTTTAACCACTAGGTTACCCCACCGCCCCTGTTATAGACAGTGATTGCTATTTCAAATTTCAGTCACATTGACGTGTCATGTTAACATTCAACCGTTAACCCATGGTGGCAAGAGATCAGTTCGTTTCTAGTTACAATGTTTGAAATTTATGTAGCCTTACCGTATATTAGTTAACTTTCGTTTCAGTTTGGAATCGAGAGTTTTAGATAATAATTCAATAACTAGCTTTTGTAGGCTTGAATAGGACTATTTACATAAAGGGGTGAAAACACAGTGTTCTATGTCATCTGCTATGTATACCCTGTTCCACCTCCTCAACCTTGGCTTCCTCTCATTGTTATTGTATTATTACCTATCCCATTGTTGTTGTTAATCCCTTTGATGCATTCCCTCATGTTGTCTTACTTAATCCCTGTTACATGTATATAAGTCGGTTCTGTGCTGTAATACTTTACTCTTGCTTGACAACGGTATAAGAAGCAATCCCGAAACGTCGCATCTTATCAAATAAAGAAGTTGTTATCCGTAAAGTATTTTTTCTACTTTTCACTGTAGAGAAAAACTGAGTGGGGTGAGTGAGGGAGGATGGTTTTACGCTTTTAGCAAACTGCAAGCAATATTACGGCAGGGGACACCAGTAAAGAGCTGCACAAATTGCACCCAAGTGGGGAATCGAACCCGGGTGATCAGCGTGACGAGGGAAAGCTTTATCCAACAGGCTACCCCAACGCTCTCAACTGAGTAATATCTACACATCTATTGATACTCTGTAAATCGATGTTTCGGAACTTTCTATACTGAATGTACTGACCCACGACATGAAGCTGGAAATGGGTTAACTCGTTATGATATTGCCTCACTTCACAAGTGGCTGGATGTGTACATAATAGGACGAGTGAGAATTTGTCATATCACGTTGGCCTAATATTTACCGCGTCTAAGGTCAACTGAAATATGGCGCCTCAGAAGAGATGGCCCCCTATTCATTGGCAGTGACATAAATGGCAGTCTCGGTTTGCTTGAAATCAACATTGTTAATATAACTTTACTGACATACCCCTTGTGAAAATTAAATATGAATTAGTTGATTAAAATGTAAATAACAAGAAACAACATCTGTTTACGTGACGTGATTGCTTTTAATCAAGTTTTTTTATATTTTAACTACTCGAAACACGTAACCATTTCACAGAAATCCAAACCCAGCAGTTAATATTATATATGTCAGGCGGCAGTCTGTATATGTCTTGTGACAGTTTTCGGATAAGACAGTGCTCTCGTGTTGAGTCCCACAGGGTTCAGTATTGGGACCTGTGTTGTTCTTTTATATGTAAACTGTCTCAAAACCATAACTGACAAGTTTGGGACTCCTCATTTATCATATGCAGATGATGTTCGACTGATGAATAGATTTAAAACTGAATCAATTTCTGACACCCTACAACAAATTGAAAACTGAAATTAAGTCATGGATGACCGAAAGAAAACTAAAGTTAAATGACGACAAAACAGAGGTATTATTGGTCGGAAGACAACAGCACATCGACAAGGTAGATGTTGAGCGAGTGTTGATTGCTACTGCCTGTATCTCCCCATCACGACAAGTTAAAGATCTTGGAGTACAGCTACAGACGGGCCTTTCCATGTCTGCACAAGTGGATCATCTGTGTAAGACATGCTACTTTCACATTCGTTCCATTGGTACCATCCGAAAATACATGACTAAAGAGGGTGCACATATCCTGGTCACATGTCTTGTGTCTTCCCGCCTGGACTACTGCAATAGCCTTCTCACTGGAGTATCCAAAGAACACATGAATCCAGAAAGTGCAGAATACAGCCGCTAGAATTATATCTTTGAGTTCTAAATATGATCATATAACCCCTGTGATAAAGTCCTTGCAATGGTTTCCTGTTCAATACCGAGTTGACTTCAAAGTTCTGTGTACAGTCTTTAAGTGTCTCAACAACCTTGCCGGCCCCTACATATCTCTCATCTCTCCTAACCCAGTATGTGCCGTCAAGAACTCTACGTTCCCAGGATAAACAGCTCCTCAAAGTATCTCAAGCTCGGCTCACCTCTTTTGGAAAGAGGAGTTTTCAGCATGTCGCGCCTCTCTTATGGAACTCTCTACCGCTCCAAATCAAACTCGCCCCGACCCTGGACTCTTTTAAGAAGAAGACATTCCTTTTTACTAAAGCCTATAATTGACATTTTCCCTTCTGTAAATAGTTTTAATGCGCCATGAGCATGCATGAGTGGGTGGATACTGGCGCTTTACAAATATCCACTATTATTATTATATATTTTATTCTATGTATTTCAAAATATCTATCAACAAATAGTACACATCAGAAATCTGGAAAGCCGAATAGATCGTCTCTGTCATGGCTGGTGTAGGTAATGCCTTATGTATAGGAGAAACCACGACGATGAGGGTTTACTAGAGATTGTGAACCCTGAGAGGAGGGAAAATCCCGAAGGGTCCGAGGGATGTTTCCCCGACTCTCAGGGCTCAAATCGTTTTGCGTAAAATATGAGTTAAAATGGTTTCTATAACGATCAACCGTTTTCAATACGCCCGAGCATAAAATAATATATAACGATCGACATCAATACGCCCCGAGCAGAACAACAATGATGGAACAGCCGGTGTCAACTGGGATGCGACTGGCAGCCAACACTTTGCCTTGCACGCGTAATGCACGTGCTACCCGTGTCCTGCACATGCGCTGCCCGCAGTACCCGTCTTGTGAGGAAGCAACGTTTCATACTGACAAACAATCTTTTTCTACACAGCAATCCTTCGTAGCCTAGTGGATAAAACCGCCAAGTTAGAGAGCGAAGGTTGCAGTTTCGAAACCAGTTATCGCCACTTTATATTAGAAGTTTTCAATAATGTGATATTTTACGATTAGTGATACCAAGACAAAGTTGTATCAATCATGAATAATATCCTAGGTTTAGAAATGATCAGTGCAGAGGTCAGTGCAGAGGTCAGGAAACCCATTTTTTAACAAAAGCCCAAACAAATTATTTACAAAACACATCTCTGATACATATAGTCTAACCATATGATACAGGAACACACTTTACAATTCACGTCCCGGGCATTTACAACCAGAAATTATTGAGAATTTAAGATTGTAATTTTTATATTATTTTCACTCATTACTCACGTATTAAATGTGAATATTAGCAGAACATAACTCAAGATTCAAAGACAGGTGAACAGTTAGTATTTTGTCAAGTCACCATGGGCAGCAATGCAGGCTTCAATGCGGCGGGGCATACTACTGATCAAAGAAGTTAGAAAGTCGTGGTCCATGCTGTCCCAATATCGGACCACCTCTTCTTTCATTTCAGCAATATTTGTCAGATTTTTTTATTGACACTTTCCTTCATAAGTCCCCAAACATTTTCTATTGGATTTAAGGTCAGGGCTATAGCTTGGCCAATCTAATAATGTCATATTTTGGGTCCGAAACCAGGCCTGTGAATGCTTTGAACGATGTTTTGGGTCGTTGTCCTGCTGGAAAATAAAAAAATGTCCATAGAACACGTGAGCAGATGGAAGTAAATGTCCCTCGAGAATATCTCTGTACCGCTCACTGTTCATATTCCCTTCAAATACACAGAGGGGCGTTGCCCTAACACAGATATGCAAACCCACACGTTAAATTTTGGACTGTATTTTGGGCGCTGATACAAAGGTTTTTCAGTTTGTTTGGTTCAGAATTTCAATGTAGTAGGAAACAGCCACACGGAGCTTTCATCTGAGAAAATCACATTGTCCCAGTTAAAATTTCTATGCTGTAAGCACCAGTTCAGCCTTCGCTCCTTTTGTTCAGGTTTCATGATCGGTGATGGAATTCCTCGACTTTTCTGCCAACCCATTGCATGCAGCTCAGTTCTAATTGTCTCTTTACAGACAGCCACAGTTCCTCTATCAATCATATCCAGCCTTAGGTTTTATAAACTCCTTCGTTTGTTTTTAGAAACAAGATTACCAAGCCTCCTCCTGTCACCGACAGTCAATTTTCTGGGCCTACCTGCGCCTCCCTGGTGCACAATGCCATATCCATTTGTAATATTTTTCAAAACACGATAAACAGTGGACAAAGGGATGCCTGTTCTACTTGAAATCACTTTAGCTGATCTGATGTCCTTGTTATAATATTCTAAAATCAACTTCCTCTTCTCTAAATCATCAATACTGAGGATCACTGAAAATGTCGTCTGCTAGCAAATAAACAAAGGGGGATAACTCTTCACAAACTAATGAAAAAGGATTAACGGAGTTGTCTCTCTTGAATGAAACCAAGCACTTGATAGCTGGTCAAGGTTGTTTATACTAGAAATCCAATTAAACATATTCCTAAAATTCTCAATAATTTCTGGTCATACTATACGATATTGAAAAGGCTGTCTGAGATGACCCGTTATATGACCCGTTAGGTAGGTTGATAAAGATCAGTTCTCCTAAGGGCTTACATTATAATTGCTATCGTAGTTTTGTGCACATCACTTTCTTCGACCAGGGAAGTAGTCTTCTTGCCGGTTACGGAAAAGGTCGAGAGGTGACGAATGAGACCAATCTCCGACAAGCCCATTTGAGCTGTTTTTATAGCGTCATGCAGTATGCTTAAAGTGACAGTCACTGTATGGATTTACTCAGATGAATAATGAATGTATCTGTAAGAAATCAATTCTGCCGATATCGAACTCGAGTCTTGAGGAAAGAAGTCATTTTATTGAAGCAAATGTTACTTTATCAATAGAAAATGTTTATATATAAATGACAAAGCGCTTTCGGCATCGATAAGACATTGATATGATTAGATATCATGAGCATGTGCTAATGAATCGCTATCAAATAGTGGTGATATTATTACTTGGTGTTCTCGAAAAGAAGATGAAAAATCACAATCATTACACGCATTAAACAAATGTTAACAGATCTGTGATATAATTACATACGCAACAAGGACTACGGAATATAACAAAGCGATATTAGTGAAACATGCTCATTTTGTTATTTTGTTAGGTAGACTGAAAAGGGTCAATATATATGTTAGATGTCCTGGTTGGACGTTGTCAGTGACTAAACAAGATCTTCTATAACTCTAGATAGAATGGAAACGTATTTTCTTGAATATTATTGTGGAGTGGTTCCAAGCTATACGTAATAGATGATGACAGGTGTTGAAGCACCAAGAAGCCACATTAAGATGGACATCCTCCTTCCCCAGGTTGTCCCGCCATTGTCCATGATGGGCGTGCAACCATCACCTACAAATATGATACATATGTGAGAATTGGAAACAATTCAACAACTATACATCCAAATATTAACCAGTTGTAAATGATGTACTTGTATATGTTACAGGGAATGTGTGAAACCAGGGATTACACGTAATCCCAGAAAGATTCATTGATTTCGCCAGGAATTTCATGTACCGGTATTCACTAAAATTTCCAGGGATTTCATGAAATTACTAATTTTCACGGTGTTCCATTACACACATTCCCTGTTTGGATATCAGTGAATGTGTGAAATTAATGTTTGTAGCTTCAAACTTTACAGTTGAGTCTCATTTCATCCCTTAGTTCTTTCGAGTTGAAAACTCTGACAATTTACCGATGACACTTTTGGCTAATTACTACCTTGAGTCGGGGTACCAAATTAATTTTCTCACGGCTTTACTGTTTAGTCTCGTTTCATCCCTTAGGTCTTAGGGGGTTGAAAACTTTGACTATTTACTGATGACACTAAGTCAAGCTAAGAGAAGGAAATTACCGGGTTTCGATAATATTCCAGTTGATGTTTTGACAAATGACATCTGTATAGATGATCTTCATAAACTGTTCTCTACATGTTATGAGACTGGTCATGTACCCTCGAACAGGGCCGAGGGGATCATTACCCCTACCCCTAAGTCTTGATCTGACAATCCGAGAAACCCAATGTGAGTGAGTGAGTGCATCTAATTGTTATGATTAATAATTTGTAGTTCGGTGTTGATATAACGATATCAACGTTGTGTATCAATATTCCTATTGTCGTTTCAAAAGCTACAGAAGTTGTATTTAGCGATTTCGTTTATAAATGGAAACAGGACCTATACCAAGTTGGTAGTTTAACTGATAGGGGAGGTAATAAGTTACACACGTACTGTACTTTAAAGTTGGATTTTTGCAGGGCTATTTATGTTAATTGTAATGTCTCGCTCTATGAGAAAAGTACTATCTTTGTTTAGATGTGCGGTAGCGCCGTTTAAAATCGAAACTGTAAAGATTTTATTGAAGATGAGTGTCATGTTTTATTGCACTGCCCTTTGTATGCTGATGAGCGATTGCAACTTTAATCTAAATGTACAAGTCTTTTAGATGTTTTGAAAAGAAATCTGGGTATGTTGAAAAAATTTCTTCTAGCTTGTCCTGGTGTATCGTTATTATCTGACAAAACCTGCCTTAATATTCTTAAAAGCGTTCTGCAAATTTGTATGTATCTTCTTAGTGTAACTTGTGCCCTTATTATTGCATTTTTAATATTCATATATTATATTCTGTATATTGTGGCACAAGTGTCTCTCATAGTTCCGTACGGAATGGCTCAACATTTTACTGTGATACAGCATTTACAAGATTATTGATGTTTTTCAAAAATTTTGTTTTCTTTATTGAAAATAGACGTTTAAGCTTAAACAGACTAGGTCATTCATAGAAATGACTTGGAATATACATCATCCCGCTGTTGAAGAAGAGCTTTGGTATATGGGTTTGGGAAGGAAAAGGTATTTTTCAAGGCGCATATTTCATGTTTGTCCTCAGCGTCTTCTTTCTACGAATGATGTGACAATGGACAAAGAACTGTTTCTTTTCAAGTCGAATTGTGGTGGTCAGGGTTTCCAGAAATGTAACTGTTGTCCTAACCAGTGTAAATCGATACGGTGTAAATCTTTTAAAGTGCTACTGAAGTGTAATAGCTTGTATGACAACAGCCTGTCTGGTCCCAACACATGAATTTTATCTGGATATACTTTGTACTCGCAATATAAATTTGGTGTTCTCTATTTTAATAAGGGCTTACAGGGATTTCATGAAATCCCTGAGCTAATATTTCAGTGAGTGAGTGAGTTTAGTTTTACACCGCACCCAGCAATATCCAAGCCATATGGCGGCGGTCTGTAAATAATCGAGACAATCCAGTGATCAACAGCATGAGCAAAGATCTGCGCAATTGGGAACCGATGACATGTGTCAACCAAGTCAGCGAAACTGACCACCCGATCCCGTTAGTCGCCTCTTACGACAAGCATAGTCGCCTTTTATGGCAAGCACGTGGGTTGCTGAAGACCTATTCTACCCCGGATCTTCACGGGCCTAATATTTCAGTAATTTCATGAAATCCCTGGAAATTTTAGGGAATGTATGAAATCCCTGGGGGTCACAGTGATTTCATGAAATCACTGACTCTTTCAGGGGTTAAGTGAAATCCCTGGTTTCACACATTCCCCATACACACGTATAGACTCTTTAACGAACGTATGTATAAGTTAAAAGTGTAAATACCAAGTATTAGGAGAAGGACTGACGACACTGTTTGCAAGAGCATATACAAGTCACGAGTAGAAATCGTTTGCATGATAGACACCGATAGACACATGATAGACACACATCCCATCCCAACCCACCCCACCCCCGCACTTCCTTGAAAGGCGATTGTTATGAGTGTGTTTTTGTAATTTTTTGTATTACATTACATTGATTGTTGTGGGTGACAATGTATGGGATATGTGTGGGCTTTGTCTCGCATTTCGCATCATATATGTTCAATGGCAATAGTTTTTGTAGCGGTACGCCTTTTTGATAGCGCTTCAGAGTTGCCTCCCTTTGCTGGTTGATTATCGTGTTGACTTCGTCATGTCGTGGAGTTTTCCATGGATTTCCATAACGTTCTGAGAGATTAATGATGGAGCCTACCTTTGCTAGAATGCTCGAGAACTGTGTAAGAGCTATATAAAGGCTGGTTGTTGAGTTCTGCGTTGTGTAACACATAACTGGATCTGTCTGCCATCGTTAAGCTGAAGAAACGCATCAAGACCGACCTTGCTTGTCTATTCAACTGCTGTCATTGACAATAACCTCCAATCAGTATATATGTTCTCACTGTAAATGTCAATAATCTGGTGAGTTAATATTGTATATTTGGGACCCAGTATTCTAGACTTGTGACTCAACTGCATTGTAATATAAATCAGTATTGTCATTCAAAGTAGCTTGCCCATTGTTTCTTCAATATATTATTGAATATTTTAGACTTGTCTGAGTTCTATTTTTGCTGGTTCAAAGGTGACTGTTAACCCTATTGTCACGGCAAAGAATTAACCGTAACACGATCAAGCAACGTCGGAATGGACGTCAAGCCAGTGTCACCCTGAGACCACATGGCAGATCTGGCGGCTGACAAAGTACGGTGTAGGGTGAAAACACTGTGGAAAGAGCGAACCATGATCCATTATAGAGGGAGGGGGTGATCAATGTGCAGTACTATCACAACAATATACTGACACCCTTTGTTGTCTCGTGTGCAAGACAAGGATGTGTGTGTGTGTGTGTGTGTGTGTGTGTGTGTGTGTGTGTGTGTGTGTGTGTGTGTGTGTGTGTGTGTGTCTGTGTGTGCGTGTGTTGTTACGGGTAGGGGTAGGGGTGAAAACAACCGTGCCTGACGTGACAAATTATAACTGCTCACACACCTGCAGCAGCACAATACATACACAGATGGAGGTCATGAAGTCACTTCCGAAACCCTGAGGTTTTGTGGGTTCAAGATGTGCATATCACACTGGAGATATTACACTGGGATGATCATGTCTTACCGATATTTGTATTCCTCCAGTCCCCTCCATGCTCGTTTACATGACATACGAAGCAGGGGTCGTCTGCTCTTATTTCACCTTCACGTGCACATTTCCCTTGATGTGTGCAGTATCTGCCCTAAATGTCAGAGAGGAAATTGTAAGGTGGAGATACAAGTCCTTGAAAATGCTGATTCTCAAATCTTCGTCAGGATTCTCACTCATTCACCCATTCCGCCCACTTTTAACACGAGTATCTATTATATATTCATTTCATATACTTCTGATATATCAAAGGTTAACATTGTTAACGATAGCTGAAATCCCGATTCTTCTGGCTTTGACTCAACGTGTGATTCATCGTACGCTTTATGTTTTGAGTGAGGTAAGATTTACAGTCATATCGGCAATATTTCAGCCATATTGTGACTTTATATTTGAGCGAGTGAGTTCAATGCCGCTTCCAGTAGTATTCCAGTTTATATCACGGGGTTGTATATTTATGTGAACATGTTATATCATATTTACACTAAATGTGAATCTAATTATAGAAATTAACCTGTACACTCCATTTCGTAGTGTCCGTGTCGACGATGACGCATGTCGAGTCGTAAACAAGGACCCGCAACTCATTACTGTAGGCGTGACCATCTTGAGACACTGACACGTTGTAAGCCGTGACAACGTCGTCATCTCCGGGGTCTGGCGTTGTGCATGTCACCTCACTAATACTCTCGAACACTGCCCTTGGTGTTGTACTGACTGGAGCGGCCAAGTTTCCATCCCGTGTTACCTTTGTTAAATAACACAGCCAGTCAGCCTTGAAGGATTTGCATGAACGGCACAGCAGGCACATTTGATGCAATTTACAAGTTTAAGTTATTTCAGTTTTACCAATGCGTCTTAGCACGCAATAATTAATGTTTAGAATACCACAAATCATCACAAGACTATTTTAATTCAACCACAAGATGAACTTGATATTGTCAGGTGTGTATCGTTGGGCTCATTAATATTTCATTAACATGGCGGTGGTCTGCAGTTACTTGTGACTGTACCAAGCAATCCACTGACTGGCAACATATGCATCAAACCGCTCAATTTAGGCACTGTTAGATACATCCAGCCAATCCATTAAACATGAATACCCGTTCTTTGTAGTCAGCGTTCACCGCCATGGTTTGAACTCTTACCTGGAATCCCTTGTGAACTCAATAATGTGTTGATGTAAATACAAAACCGGAAGTGACTACGAAAGTCTTACGGGCTGATTCCAGGGTCGAAGCTACCATTACAAAAAAAAAGCCTGGGCGTACACATGGCTGTTGCTAAAAAGGTTCGGTTAGCCCTCAGTACTATCTGAAAATAAATCGTTGCAACCTATCGGGCTAACACGAAAACATTCGGTTGCTACGCACCTAGATGCAAACACGAAACAGAGACTCTCGGAAAAGATCTTCTGCTTTTCCATTTCCAGTGACATCTTACCACATATTTCTTCATTTGACATTTTGAAGTTTCTTGCCCACTAAAAATGTCGCCCAACACCGCGATTTCTGCACACCTTCCGGTAGCTAGGTCACATGTACCGCCCTCGCTAGCGTCGACAAGAACAGGTGGAATGGATAAATCAACCGAACAGTCCCCTCCGCCGAAGCCAGCGTCACAATGACACCGTCCTGGAATTATACGCATGTAATGGCCATCAGTTCTGAACAAACGGGGATAAACAGACAAATGGAGCACAGGATGGCTAAAAAATTCGGAGGCGCCGGAAGTCGCTATGTAGGGTTGCCTCCCTTAGGTCTGATCGCAATCTGTACTCGCTTTTGTATCTCGGTTCATGCGGATATACTTCTACGTTTGTCAGCACTTTACAAATGTGATGTCCTGCTATGACCAGCGCCACTTTACAATTGTGATATCCTTCTATGACCTTCACCACTTTACAAATGTGATATCCTTCTATGACCTTCACAATTTTACAAATTTGATGTCCTGCTATGACCTGCACCACTTTACAAATGTGATGTCCTGCTATGACCTGCACCACTTTACAAATGTGATGTCCCGCACCACTTTAGAAGTGTTATGTCCTGTACCACTTTACAAATTTCCAAATGTGATGTCCCACTTTACAAATGTGATGTCCTGCTATGACCTGCACCACTTTAAATTGTTATGTCCTGCTATGACCTGCACCACTTCAGGCTTTCCCCGACAGGATGACGAACCAGTTATTGGTCACACTCCCTCCCTCACTAACACTATTCTACCTGCAAATGATTGAGTGACGTCTATGCTACACATGCTCGGATGCCGATGTCATTACGAATTCCCAATTTATTTACAATTAGATATTTATTATATACAACTGAGTATACCGCTTTTAAGAAATATCCCATGCAATCCGGATACTAAGACATAATACTGCTCATATCACCAACGCTGACTGTAGTCTGGTAATATGTACGATAAAACAAATAGACACGCAGTTTAGTATCACGCAATATGACGCATTCGTTTTCTAGCAATTGTTGTTTATGTGTAGCATCAATTACCATATCTGAAGCCAATTTCTATTATCTATCTAACCTATTATCTATTTGATATCGCTGGATTATTGCGAAGTGAACGTCTAATTACTCACCGTCATTGCAGGTACCTCTTCCATTACAGTCATGCACACATGTGTCTTTTGTTATTTTATCAAAGATGGATGGTTCACCAGCCTCGGCCTCGAGCAGGACAGGGTTAAGCATGGCTTCACTTACACATTTCACGTGTACGCTTTCCAACGCCATAGAAGTAAAATCTGTAGTACCGCTGAGCTACGAAGTGAAGTAAATTTTATGTGTAATGTTGTTTGCGTCGGGAACTAATATTCGGCTTATTGAAACATCCCACCCTTATTCGCAGAAGGAGCGCAATTAAATATCTTTGTTACATCAACAAGATTCAGTTACTCAAGTCTTACATGAAATTCTTATGTGTTCGTTCCAATTAATGTTGATGAGATCTTTAAGTAACCTCACCTGAATGTCATTCACACAGGTCCTTATGCTGTCGGCGACGTTGACACCTGGAACGTCTTCGCATACATTCACCGACTGATCATCGGAAAACTTACCATCGCAATAGCCCTGTGCCGAAGTCAAATTCCAACCATTCAACCATCCGTAAAAAGATGGAATTTGCTGAAACAAGGACACTCGGATCAACGGATGAATTACAAACACACTGGATTATCAAAAACCTGTTTCATAACTCTCAAAAAATATCATCTTTTTTTCATAATTATGGGAAATAACTATGGTAAGAAGAGTACAACATATATACTATATTACACGAATGTTTGTAGGTTTAATAATCAGGTTTAGTATTCATAAAAAATGTAATAGTATACCCTTTTGATTCGTTTCACGAAGTGTTGTGCCATGCGTTTCTTTCTCTTTGATATGATGCAGTCTTTCGGCTTGATATCCTCAGCTCTGTCTGGAGATACACACGTCTCAGAGGCAGCCATGGCGGTACATGTTATTTGAGGATTTTGAGGATCTGTCTCTCGTTCGCACGTGCAGTATTGGAAAAGCGGTTTATAGGATGTCAATCCACCACTAATAACGTCAGGGTCAAACAAGTTGTCTTGGGTCGTTACTCTAGAACATGAAATAAACAATAGACAATTTGTATTACCTTTCGCGGTAACGTTTCGGCATTGTATCAGAATCAAAATATTTTACTGCCTGAAAAATATGAAGGAATGAAAACTGTATTCGTATGTTATGGAGGCTCATATCTATGTCATTGGAGGACAAATTGTTTTAACCATGTCATATATCATATTTTTCTCATGACATCTATATTGATATCCCGTAGTATTGTTTAATAAAAACCAACAAAATCCAAGGTATGAGAAAAATAACTGCCAAAGCGAAGTCCACGGTAGATTCAGACTCTGCCTTTAGCTTGTAATATGTTTATGAAGCATTTTAAAGTTGTGATGAAATCAGGTTGCGTGAAAATGTGAGCATATCCAGACCCTCGGTGGTACCTTCACAAACAGGATTCGTATGACATGTGGACATGTGCTATATATATAGCGTGCTCCGCTGAAGGCATTCTTGCATGGCAACACAACCATCAGTAACCTTGCATGGCAACACAACTATCAGTAACATCTATGAACAAAACAAATCCTCATTTTAATGTTTAATACCTCCACGATTCTGCGAAATCTTCGGTAGAATTAGCAACGGAACCGTCTCTCTTTATCAAGTCGTCATTTTGTGTGTTTGATATTTTACCACACATACCGCGGTTCTTTTCAACATCGTTAACAGAGGATGTAAGCTGAACATTCAGAAAATATGGAGCATATGTCTGAAGATCAACACGAACTGTATTTCCAGTAGGCAGACGAATCTGAAAGCATTAACAGATTGGACAAATACATTGTAACCTGACGAAGTTAGTGTGACAATTTTCGGCAAATGGATGACAATATTATTTATTTTTAAAGAAATCCTTACTCATTATGAGGTTACATCATTGTTTGGCATTAGATCACAAGTTAAACAGGCTTTAACGCAAATTATAACCAGCGGTCACCTATTTGTGGACATATCAAGACGATGAACATTCCGATAATATTACCCATGAATCCTGTCATATTCAGGGTGAATATTTGTAAACACACCAACCGTGTAACTAGTCCAGTCCCTCGTAACTTGCATCACCTCTCCCGAATCTCCACAAGCCGTAAAGCCGATGTGCCAGGTGAGGGACTCACAGTGACTGATCTCAAACACGGTCCTTCCTGTTCGGACTGCCACGCCACATGTACAGAAGGGACCATCACCCACTTCCGTGCCACAGTCTTCGGTTTGAATTTGTATCTGAATCGAGCAAGATAATGTAACACTCATGGCGCAAGGCGCATCTAAATACACGCGAAAAACCCTGTTCCATAATCACAATAAAAACGATATAACCATAGTCATAACATAAGAAAAACTATCTAAAGAGGGATTTCGACCATATGTCTGTTGACTCTTTCAGTCAATGAAAGCAAACTTTCCTACTTTCTTGGCCTTATGCCTCTGAAATTGTTACTGACACCTTCATTTGTTGAAAGTCATAAATGGTCCAATCCGAATGTGAGCTTCTGCATTCATACAAAGACAGTAGTTATAGTTCTGAAAATACTAACGATTCCGGAATCGCAGAATCGTCACCAACAAGTTTATGTTTGCGAAAGTGATCATGATGGGTGTCGGCCTTGCAATAATTTATTGCAGTAATGATTCGATCATGTATGGCATTACACACCACAATATATTACATATCGTTCTTTCATCTGTAATTGGTTATGACCCTCGCACTTTTGACGACTTAATACTTAATTGTATGTGGCTATGTCACAGCGAATAGTATTCGGCACGATATATACAGGAAACCGATCAAAATAATTACGCCTTTATATCAATTGCTCATTTTAAACCGTTTCTATTTCTATTACACTTGTCATTTGTTCTCACTGTACATTTTTTTCGAAAAAGAAAACGGTGACCGGTACATTCCAGACATATTGTCTCAGTCTCTCCGATTCTGTGGTTCCAGATTTATATGTTTCACAATTGTTATGCCTCTTATTACCTCCCCTATTCAGTTCATTTTGAAATTTTCAAGAGGAAAAGGATTCTACCCTGCATAACAATGCGTGCCGTCTTTCAACTTGAGATGTAATGTAAGACATAATGCAAGAGTTACATTCTTAACAATAACTCCGGTTCTCTTTCACTCAAGCACACCTCGGTACTGCGTCTCCGTCATTCGTAACTACTCGCCTCTTTCCGTGACCTACAAGAAGACTCGTACCCCTATCGTACGCCATTATTGCCAAAATCGTGGCAAACCAATGAAATCGCGCGTAGTAAAACGCATTTCGAAGCATGAAAATGGCGGCACCGTTGAAGTTTGAAACTTCGCTAAACTATGAAAAGCACAATTTAATCATAAACATTTAGCTAAAGGATCAGAAACTTTAAACAGTGAAACATATTTATAAAGGGAATGACTGCATTGCTGTTTTGCCCACGGGAAAGAGATATTCTAGGAGTTATGTTTCGAAATTCAGAGTTATCTTTCCTTGGTAATTGTACTAGACTATTTTCATCTCCATGCCCGGTTGCACTTAGACAGAGCCCAGTCGTAAACATTGCCACGAGAGGGGTACGAGACGCCATCCGGCTTGCCGGATATGACACGAGTAGTTAGAATGGCGTCTCCGTATAGCACACGTTCACTTAAAGCACACCACTGCCCCTAACTTAATAACCACTGCAATATTGTACACTTATATCACTGTTACACAATAAATGGCACAGTCACATAACAATTTACACGTTGAAACTACGCGGAATTGTGAACTAGATTGAATAAGATGTATGCTACTTCGTTGACTGCTATTTACCGTAAAGCATAATAATATGACAAAATGTCACCTCATAGTGTCCACCATTGCAATCAACTAGGAAATAGAAGCAACGTATTTATATACTTCTGTACTATGTTTTAATTAGTAACAGATCCATGCACTGGACTTTAGCATTTAGCTAAAATTGGTACGTTATGCCAATTAGTACGTTTGGCATAAATGACACTTAAGCTGCTTCTTGGACGAACCTCAATGTTGTCCTCGTATTTGTACAGTGTGTAAATGCCGGCATCATTCAGGTAAAAGAATCTGAAATGAAGGAGATGAAGAGGGGAATATCAGAAATGTCATGTTAAATAATATGTTATTGTGCTGTACAGTTTCGTTGGTATTTGTCCTCGTGCACTTTATCTGAGCATGTGATTTTTCAATGTATGTATGTATTTTGTATTTATGTACTTTATATGTATGTATATCTTCCCCGCTCGGAGCAAAGGAAAATATGACTTATCTTGCAGGGACCAGATATGGACCCAACGATTTCGCCAATATCAGGGTATCCAAAAAATGCACATACGAGGAATTATTGAGTGATAATGTTTGGTATACTACAACGCAAAAGTTATTGTTATTGACTTGAAGTGAGAAATGTGAATTAACAACTGATACTTTTATGATCATGTATATTGCAAAAAGAAACCACATAATGGTATTGGAAATTGCACATTTGAAACTTTCAAAACGAAATTCACACAATCAATAGCGTGTTCACCATGACCATTGATGCATGCTTGACGCCTGCGCCTTATAGAGCCAATCAAACCTCGCAAGAAGTCTTGCGGAATGCCATTCCATATCTGTGGAATATCTCATCTCCATTTCGTCCCGGACGTGTTCGACAGAGGATAGATCTGGGTTCGGCCATCAGCTCGCTGCAAGGGGAATATGGAGTTGTCAGCGAAGAGAACATGTCTCCACTCATGTATTTTCACGGCAGATGTTGTCTGCATCACTGAAGTCGTAGACATGATGACGTAATGTCAACGTTTGTCGTCTAGAAGAACGTCTAGCACGTTTCCCGTGAGCAGCCAGGCGCCGACGAATGGTCCTTGGCGATATCCTGTTGACACCAGGAACTGTTCGGGCTGTCAGTGTGGCTGGTTGGAATCTTTGGCGCAGATGGGTGGTTCGAATCCCACGATCGTTGTGGGGCGTTGTTACATGTGGATGGCCACTTCGGGGACGGTCTGCAACGACGGCGTTTTGTTGATAACGTCTCCACAAGCGGCATATGATGTTCCTGTGCACGTTAAAGTGCTGTGAAATGTTGCGCTGGGTGTCCCGGTTTCACGCATTCCAATGGTTCGCCACCTTTCATTTTCAGTTAGCAGTGGCATAGAGAATTGCAAGCAGATTCTTCCACATTTGAGTTTTTCGGACCCATCGACGTCTAAGCAATGATTTGGGTGACAATGATTCGAGGTTTAGAGCCACATTTTTATAGGGTAAGTCTTGTGCTTTTTTCCCAGGACAGGGTCCTGTTTGGTTTATGGATTAAGATTATTATGAAGAATATTAAAGTGCGTTATATTTTTTTTCTAATGTATATAAACAAATCTGTTGATCACACTAACTTTTGCCTTTGAGTATATTTGTCTGTGGAAACAATGTCTTTGAAGTAGAAACAACACTCACCTCCAAGTAAATGTTGATATGTAAGGATCATTTGTTGAGGAGCACCATCTTGTTTGAAACAGCGATGTATTCTTCACAAGCTGGAACTGTTGCAAAAATACTAAAATGCTGTTTACTTATGGATAAGCATCTGGTTATGTGTCAGCATTTGTAAACGGCATTAGGCAATCATATTATCTTTTTCCCGACTAAGAATAACCTAACCAGAAGCAAACCTACTGTCATGGAAAATATCTTCATCTTTCCGAAACCCAATGGCTTTTCATTTAAATCCATTTAGTTTCATTTTCACTGCCCACTTTTAACGAAATTCTAAGAATACATAATCCAAAGTTTGTAGTTAACATGTTTAATATCATTCTGAACGCATCATACCGTTATAAGTCCAATTTCATAGTCCTGCCAGAAGGGAAGCATGAGACTTGTCTTCGGAGTGTTCAGCTTCAGCTGTGTCGTAGCAGTGCTTTCTCCGTATGTAGGTGTAATTTTGCCAACTATAGTTACTGATGTGCCATAATGCCAGTGACTCGAGTTTATTTTGTCTATGCCACACGAATTTTGCACGACAGTAGCACTCTCACATTCCCCAGGATCTTGTACCCTCTGTATGTCAATGTCAAACAAACAAGGAGGGCCTGAATCTTTTATCACCGAGCCACATCCAAAAGGGACTGTGAGATGAAGATATACTGTACGTGTTTCTCCCTCAGCCAGAAAGTGGTCCCATGCCTGCAAAAATGTAACACATATTTACGTTTTGGAAAATAATGTTATTATAACGTTTTGTCATTGCATTGTATCTTGACACCTGCTTAGTGAAGGCAGCAGCTTCCTTCAACTTAAAGCATGTGACGCTCTGTGGAATGTTCGTAAAAAGAATATTGCTCGAAAATACGGAAGGATTGCCTTTTGGATAGCCTTTCCCGCTTGTTATACAGTCTCGTAGATTCGTTGTATCTCACTCAACAGATTGAAACATGTCTTCTATTTCCAGCTGAGATAGGTAAAACAGGGGATGACATTTGTAAATCATTCTATGACACCACATCAGCGTTATACCTAAGGCTTACGCTAAAACTGGTTGGCATCATTCCCTTGGGTTGTAACCACTAATGCACCGCCCCGTTAATGCATTATGAAACAGGTTGGTAAGAAAGACATAACTGTTGCCCATTGGGACACATGTTTCCCTCCCAAGAGTTATATTTCCAAATCAAGGAGGAGGTCCAGCAGTTTACATGTTCATACTGCTTCGTCAGATGACGAATATTTTTAAATTAAATCAAATTGATATTTGCCAGTACGAGCTAAAACAGAAATAATTAATGATACCAGTATGTGATGCTGCGTAAATTGTTTTGACTCTTACTACTGCAATACTTCCGTTTATTTCCAAAGTGACATACATGTATCTTCACTCCAACGAACTGGATCTCTGATAATCCTCCACTTGATGATGCCTGTCCTGGACCATAGAGTGCTTGGACACTACATTGCAACTGAAATATATATGAGATAATGAACATGGGGATTATAATTCAGAGTGATTGCAATTCAGACATGGACCACGTTGACACTGCGTCGTACTATTGAGCACACAATGCTAATGATGACAGCGTTGATTATCTCCCATAAAACTATACCGCCCGCTGACTGTAATATGTACAGGCAACGTTCATCCAGTTGATATAAACATTCAATACCCGTATGGTAAACATAGCTAGTGTGAAATATACTAGCCACATAAAGAAACTGTGCATTGTCAAAATATTATCCCAGTTGATAAGTACGATAACAATGTCAAAGGTACATATAAACTTTAATGGAGGGATCATGAGACCATAACAAGTCGGGAGAATTTCAATTGAAAAGTCAATCACAATGAGGGACAGGGGTGAAACGACCATGTCACAAGCTCAGTAACGGGTATGTCCACCATCGGCATCGAGAACAGCAGTGCATCGACGACGCATAGAGCCTATCAAACGTGCAAGGAAGGCTTGTGGGATGTCACGCCAGATTCTCTCAAGTTCTGTTGCAAGGTCAAGGACGTTTTCTTGCCGATGAGGGAGACGGCGTAGACGTCGATCCATCTCGTCCCAAACATGCTCTATCGGGGAGAGATCCGGTGAATTTGCAGGCCAAGGCAGTAAGTCAACGTTGTGGTGTTGCAAGAAATCCATAGCACTCCTTGTCGTATGAGGGCGGGCATTGTCCTGTTGGAATGTTAACCCAGGGCCATGACGTTGCAGAAAAGGAATTGCCACAGGTCGAAGAATCTGATCCCTGTAGCCCAGACCAGTTAAATTGCCCTGAACACTCACCAAAGGAGTTCTTTGGCGTGCTTTCCAAAGTGACAGTATTGTGTGGCATTCATTTGCTCTGTTTCTCTTTTCCGGAATGCACGTGCAACAACGTATTGCACGTCTCAAGGACGAACCCAATGACGTCACGGAACGTGGCACGTGCATGCATGTTAGATACATGTCACTAATCTCTGAGTTTAAATCCTTATGTGTCTACACAGGTTTGATAAATTTAGATTTTAAATTTTTGTAGGCACATATATGTGCCTAGTACATGTCATATGTTTTGTGCACATATCACTTTTGCCGAGCAAGCGTTGTTTCTGTGTTTCGGCGTCTGTGACGTCATTAAGCAATTAAACGTGATGTCAGTGACGTGGACCGTCACACTTGCTTTCCGTGTTCTACTGCACAAATGTACACAATAGAATGGACAATAAAGAAATTATTACAGTCGAGGAAGTGCGTCATGACTTATACGAAACTCGTGCAAAATTATGTAATACAAAATTTAAACTCATTTCGTTGAAGTCGTATGACACACTTGCTCGTGTAATAATTTTTATATCCTGATTTCCGTGCGTAAATTAACGCGTGATAAGTGGACACATTTGAATGGGAGGCCGTGCTTCCAATATGAGTTTGTTGGGTTTTCAAAGATGTTCAAAATACATCTTCATAATTATATAAATTGCAACAAACCCGTTATGCTTGATCACCCAACCCTAACAATGATATTAATCTTGATCACGTTGAACAGAGCATATTCACAGAAACATTTCGTTCAAAACTGTGATAAGAGTCACGTTTTTTATCTGTTATCTCAATCACTCAACCAGGTAGCAAGTGAGTAGGTGGGCGAAAACACATAGAGAGAAATAGGTGAGGTGAAGTGAAATTGGGTTCAACGTCGTATTTGAGAATACTTTGCTCATATGACGACATGCATGCGTGTGTATGTGTATGTGCGGCTGCTTGTACTAGCCCACACTGAAGCTGGTTTTATAGTGCTAGCCCACTGAGATACCATGCTGCAGTGAAGCATGAAAAACCCATTCGGACACATTATACTGACTCCGAGCCGACCAGCCCTTGATGTACCCATTAATGCCGAGCGCCATATAGAGAAATAGACAAATATATACAAATGTTTGGGTTTAATCACTAATTGTGTAACACTTTATGAAATCTTAAAACCTATATCACTAAAATCAATTTGATATACATATTGCACAGATCGAGTCGCTTTGCCTGGGTAACGATTGTATAATTGTAAAAGTGAACGAAAATGGTCAACTGTATTTATCAAGAGTCTGTTAGGATCTTTTATGATTATACCATGACAGAAATTTCCACAGCGGAGATGGCAAACACAGAAAACCATAGGGACAGTCTAATATATATTTGTATAGGTGTAAGTACAGAAACTGCACGTACATTAAATCCAGCCTTTGTGACCCCATTCTGTCTCAGCAGCTGCTCTGTCAACGTCGTGTTGGCGATGTAATCAAAGTCGTCAGAGTTCCATTCCGTGGGTTCAAACGTGTAAAATGGAGCTCCCTCGAGGTACCAGGTTGTTTTGTAGAACAGTCGTTCATTAGCACGGGTAAAGTTGCACCGGAACAATAACTCGCTCGAGTGAGGCTTGTCCAGCAGGTCGACGGTAACATATGGTGTTTCATTAAATTCCGGACGTTCTGTTAAATGATGAAATAAAGTCTATCACAACAGATGAAAGGTGAATGCAACACCAAACAGAGCCTCAGTAGAACTTGTTTGGAGGTTTGGATGAGGGGTCGTAATGAAAGTATACAGGAAGATGTCCTCAGAATATTTTTGAAATGAACCGAAAATACCCTATATGTTGTCAACAACCCAACTTATGATGATTTAGTATGCATTCATAATTTGCAATCAGATATTAATAGATTTCGAACATCGACATTTAAATAAATTGTAATAAGTGGTCTATGAGGCCATTCTACTTGTGCTCTTTAGAATAAAACCTGACATGCTTGTAGACGTCGAAACAGTAGTTAGCATTTCAAACATGCACAACTTTCTTTCCAAATTATAGGAACGTACCGTTATGTAATAGAATTTGTATTTAAATTCTCGCGTAACTCAACAAACACATTCATTCAGTGGACAAGACAAAGTGATATTATATCTTACTTTGAACCTCAGCGGCTGAAACAAGAAGAGAAAAGGTGAATCGTTCTTGACACCAAATTACACTTATACATTTGCATTGACAGTTTAAAGACCTCCACAGGCGGATCCAGAAATTTTCAAAGGTTTCGGGGTGGGGTGGGAAGCCTTACCTTGGCTCCGCCATTGCATTAACTTCAATGTGGTCTGTAGTTATTTTTTTTAGGGGGTCGAACACCACCCCTACCCCTACCCCCCTCTGGATCCACCACTGACCTCACTTCCACTCGCGTGGAATTACTGAATTATGAATCTTCCAATGTTTTATTTTTCTTGTTCAATGCCTTACTCAACAATAGTCCACCTAGCTGGCGTTGGTCGGTAAATTTAGTCGCGTCTGGACCAGACAATACAGTGAGCAACAGCATTATCATTAATCCACCCATTACGGATACGATGACTGGAATTGACCTGACCACCCGATCCCGTTAGTCGCCTATTACGACATGCATGGGTTACTATAGACCAATTCTAATCCGGATCATCAGGGCAGAATCGAATAAAACAGTGTGACTATTAAATATTAAATTAGTGTATCCGATCAGTCAGTTCGTCTGTCGTCATCGTGGTATCCGTAGACATTATGTTATGGCGTGTGAGATATACCCGTAGTTTGGACTATACCTACACAGACAATACACTGCTCGATTGGTTGGAGCTTGAAGTAAGTAGAAAATCTGAAATCCATCACATTGTTTGTGGTCTATTTCAAAGTCCAGCGAGCACGCGTCTGTAGGAGACTGGACACACATTGTTGATGTCGTGTTGGTTGAACCTGTAAAGTCAAAGCGGCAATACTACAGTTTTTCATATTTGTATTTTCACTTCTTTGAGTGGCATATTGGTGAATCAGGTAAAGAGCAGACATGCTTGACAACGATACAAGAATCTGTATCGAAACGTCGGATCACCTGAATAATGAAGTTGTTCATCCATAAAGTTTCTCCTTATCTTTGTATATTAAGCAAGATTTAGATGAAAAACATTACAAATATTACAGATCTTGTAAAAAGATTGTCTGTCGACATTTGGGTTTAAAAATCAACAATCAAAGCCACATAGACACTGAAATGAAACACAAGTCATACGCATGAAATGTTAATGCTAATTGATTTGAGAAATTCAGAGACACTTCTACATCATCTATATTAAATAATTGCTGTATCTCACTGTTTCTTATAATTAACCGCCACTTCAAACCCTTCATGTGATAACCCTATATATGTTTTTCGTCAAGGACTAATTTATATATTCCCGAAATAATCATGAACAATATAGCATTTATTACATTTTCCTATACTCTCAATAGTAATCGTGTAGAAAGCTCTGAATCGCATCACAATTCTGTCTGATTATTTTGTTGTTGTTTTTGTCAGGATCAAACCTGTGCTCGTGGATTTCACCAGAGTGATGAACGTATGAGACCTGCATCACTTCGACCTTTCCTTCTGACGACTTCAGTTTGGGTAAATGTTCGTCAACATTAAACAAACATAACCTCACCGCCAGTGAATACTTTCTATTTGCATCGATTTTATATCACGTCTGGTTTGAGAAATGACGTCTAACTGCGCAAACGCCCCCCAAACTTTTAATCAGGCTGCATTTCTCTCAGGTGAAATTTCTCTGTACAACATACACGTGGATTATTCAAAATGAACTTTCAGATAATGATATCTTTAGTCTCCTTGTATTTTGGCAATTCCAAGTCACCAATGAACATAGCTGTAGCAAACAATGTGGGTAATCCGATATAATTGCCCGATTTTACTTCATAGTAAATGCGGAAATCGAGTTTTCTATAAATTTCTAATTTATACACATTCTGTGTTTGTACTGATCAAAAACGCTAATAAACTGATACACTTTCAATTCAAAACAGTTTTACATGTAATAGAGCATATTTGTACTAGTTCAGTGCATAATTTCGAATTGCAGAATCGGAAAATCCATTCCATTTTCGTAGCACCCATTATCGAATTTAGCGAAGGGCCGACTGGTTTCCTAGAATCGGTTCGAGAGGCGTGTTCAGTAACAGTACCGCGATTGCTGAGATGGGTGAATTTCTTTGAAGGGGTAGGATTCATATAGCTTTTGAAAATAAACAGGGGCCGGGGGATATGTCATCTATTGATGACACGTTACCATCCGTCATAAAATAGAAGCATATATATATATATATATGACCATGTTTCCTCCGTTCGTCACAAGATCTTCATTTCCAGACGTGGTTAGACATGACGAAGACCTTTGATACGAAATTTGATCATCCAAAACTGTGTTCCACAGGAGATATCGCTTGTGTGAGATCAAGAAGATATAGGAGATATCGTTTTGACAGTAGATTTTGTTCAATTCAATGCATGAACCTGACGACATGTTATGACATCGCTATGAAATCTAATGAACTTGATGTACGTCACAATAGTGATTTTGGTGATATGACATCGCTGCACTGCAAATCTAATGTTGATTAATGAAAATATCCTCAGCAATTTCGGATTAAGTACCGATCCACTATATAGATATAGCAAGTCTCTAAAAGACGGAGGTATGGACATCGTGATCACTAATAGTAGCAATCTAAAAGACGGAGCTATCACATCGTGACAACTGATCTTCACGTCCTTTCTCACTAAATTTCCCAATTTACTCCGATGCCTCCAACGTTGCCTTTTTAAAGGCTTTTTTATGTCCATTTTCTGTTGAATTTTTGACTGAAAAGATTACGTTACTTTTTCATCTGACTTTTGCCTTGACATCCAATAAAAGAATATTTGTAACTGACACATATTGCCTTTCAATACTTGCAAAAAGCTTACTTTCGATAACCCAACAATATGTTTATACAAAATTCACAATAACAATATTATTTTAAAAATGAGTTACTATTATGTGTTATGGAAACAAATGAATTATTTGACAGACCAATGCTTACGCTTTGAAGCTGTGACCGAAAAATATCCTCTTTCTAATAAAACATGCCTCCGTCAGACGTGATATCCGTTACAAGCAGTACTCATCAAAGCGAAGATACGGGGAAATGCATATCGCATATTTCCAAAATGTATATACTGATATTTACAACATATACATCACTTACCATTCATCCATATTGGATACCATCCTCCGCATTTATAAAATCCAGGAGATTCGTCCACCAAGGTGTGCCTTGGGTCACCGTACCACCCTTCTATCAACTCGTAGTCATCGATGCTGGTTTCTCCATTACCAAGTTCGTAGCTGGGATCACGGCGGTCGGAATCAGGGAATGGTTTATAGTTCGTACACGGATCTGAGTTTCAAAGATGAAGTTCGATTCAGTTGCATTGACATTTAGACAATAGTTAAATTTAGTTTTCGAAAATTTCTCAATCTCCACGTTTTGTGTCAATGGTATAAATTATGTATTTTCATTTCATGATCAACGCCTTTTGCCTCTTTGCCTGCTCTAGTAAAACTGAAACCTCTGCAAATCAATAACACGTCATAAAGAGTCGATGTAAAGACAGACAATATTCGGAAAAAGGCTATTTTCATAAATATATTAAATGTTATGCCACACAATGACGATGTTTAAATACTTTACCTGTGGTCGCTCTGGTGACCACTGAGTAGAAAAGTACAGCGAAAAGGGGAACCAGCATCATTGTACTACTTCGGCTGAAATAAGAAATGAGTCATGACCTTCACAAACTATACATTCAACAATGTCATTAGTTATGGTTTTGTATAAACAACGTACCTTCTTCCACGGCGAAAACTTACAGACTCTTGTTGGTGTAGTAGCTACGTGGGCATATTTTAAGTCGAGCAATGACAGTGAGTGAGTGAGGTTTTACGCCGATTTTAGCAATATTCCAGCAATATCACGACGGAGGACACCAGAAATGGGCTTTACATATTGTAACAATATGGGACATCGAATCAGAGTTTTCAACGTGACAAGCGAACGCTTTTACCCCTAAGCTAGCCCACCGCCTCCCGAGGAAAGTCATGAAGCCGTCTAAAGGACAAAGAAGTCAATGAGATAAGACGGATTTGTAACACACAGGCTTATAGCGAGCGTCAGACATATGTATGGTTTCTTTTTTTATGTCAAAACGAATTAAGTAGGCTGCCAGACCGAAAACTCGTGGTCAAGGTTTCTGCTCAACCTCGTTATCTGCTTAAGCGCAGGTGAGGCATCCTCACTTACTCCAGTTCACAAACCATTGCTTCGTCATACAACCATTCAGTCCATCTGTATCTGGGAAACAATTATCTAAATCGGCTCAACAATGTACATCAGAAACAAATAGGAAACAAATTCAAACGGAACATACACAAATATCAAAGCGGCAAGTGTGAAGAGATGCGAATAATCAGATTCAACAGGTTTCAATCACTTCGTTAAAGATTGTTCAGATTTAGTCTGTCTTTATCAGAAAAAGTTCATAACACACCCGTGACTGTGTCAATTTGACCTTGCGGCTTCTGTGGTGACCCGACTTATTTGTAAGTGTTTAGCATATAAAACTGGCCGAGTTCGACACTCGTTTCATTTAACGTTCCTCCTAAAGCATTTACACTGTTTTGGTAGTCTGAATTTACTTGTAGTTCGCGTGAATATGGTATTTCCCCTTCCAAGGATGAGAAACCGCCTCCGTGGTGTAGTAGTTAGAGCATCCGCCGGGAGAGCGGAGGGTCGCGGGTTCGATTCCCGGCCGCGTCATACCGACAGACGTTTAACTCTTTCCAAGATATAACGTAAAAGGGGATGGGCATACGATGTCAATTTTATTACGATTGACAGATAAAAAATGACAAATTGTTCGAAAAATACACAAAATCCTCCCTTCTAGATAACAATTTAAAAACTATCGAGATAAAAGGTATACCCAGGGAGGTGGGTGGGTGTCCGTACGCGCCGGCTGCAGCCATGAGACTGACTTCTCTGTCCCATAGATAGATGAGTGCGCACGCAAGTGCATGCTTATGCGGTAGAGTGCTGTCTCCCGGTAGAGCATATGTCTGTCCATGGCCTGTGGGAGTTAATGTTTAATAATATAAATCATTACCCCTTGACTCTTTCCAAGATATAACATACTAGGTGTTGGGGATACGATGTCAATTATATTACGATTGACACATGAAAATTACATAAAATCCTCCCAACCCCCCAACACCTATTCAGTACATGTTGCTGCTATTATCATTGCTTTTAAAAATGTATCATGAATTCGGCTATCTGAAGAGACGTATCTTTCATAGGCATTTGGTTTCCAATCTCCATGAAGCTTGATGAGTATGGACGACACGCCTATCTTGTGAGCGAAGGTACAGCCCCTCGCCTGAATGAGTGGTCACTGTAGCTATCTGTCGGGTACCCACAGGCCACCCACACTGTCGTCAGTGCTGTTATGAAGCAGCTATAGGTTAGACCACTGATCTTACCATCACACATGAAAGAAAACAGATGATTTGTAGGCGGTATCTCGCCCTGGGTATCACATAGTGATAACAGGGTACAAAGGAGAACCCTGCCTCTGTCCGAACTGAATGGTCTTGGAGTGTCGGATGGTCACATAAACTGTAACAGCATTAACATTAACATCACGAATACACAATTGGCGATCAGGAGATATACTTTGTTTACCAGGTAGCAGTGTGGACTTCCTCATAAAGGTAAAGAAAGCCACCAAACATGCATTCCAACATGCGATGTTAAAAAGGATATATAAGTCGAGTTTGGATCTGATTTGTCGCAGAATGGTTGGCGTGTGTGTCTTAACTGACGCAGGTCTGCTCCCACTTGGCCCGTAAAACAGTCATATGGTTCAACAAGTTCATGTCATATCCAGCATTAAGTAACCATGACATATTGTCTTTAACGTGGAGCCGAGAGATTTTGTCACTGATTGTGTTACTCACACCCGGAATGTGTCTAGATGTTAAGTGAAAACCGTAAAATGCAGATAGACAAAATAAGTCTCTTAAAATCTAAATTGCTGCTGTCTGTACGCGCCGGCTGCAGCCGTGGGACTTACTACTCTCTCCCGTAGATAGAGGAGTTCGCAAGCACGCTCGTTCCGCACATGTATGCTTGCGCGGTAGAGTGCTGTCTCCCGGTAGAGCACCTGACTGTCCATGGCCTGTGGGAGTTAAACTTTAATAATATATATTATTACCCCTAAAATATGGTACCTCTTGGTCCGTGCCTGGCGCTCGGCATTAATGGGTACACCAAGGACAGGTCGGCTCGGAGTCTGTATAAGGTGTCTGAGTGGGGTATTCATGTTTAACTGCGGCATGATATCATCTCAGTAAGCTAGCACTATAAAACCAGATTAAGTCTGGGCTTGTACACGCAGCCACACATACACGCGGATGCACGTCGTCATATGAGCGAAATTGTAAGTAGACGTTAAACCCAATTTCACCTAACCTCCAATGCTCAGAAGGTGTCTTTATCTAAGTCGAAGAAGGGTTGTACAATACCTAGTGTGGCTCCCGTAAATGAGCCTCCTTTTGACATGTCAAAAATCTTTTTCTGTATCGGTTGAAATTAAAGTCTCTGTAAGGAGCTCCTTGTTAAGTCTGAGGAAAGTGTACAGCGGTACTACAATGTATGCGTGGTCCCCAACTCCAGTCGGCGCCATAGGGGACAAGCGCCATCTCCCGCTATTTTTGGCTCCCATTGTGGAAGACGGTTCTCTCTCACTCAAACACACGCACGCACGGACCCCTCCCCCAACCCCCTTCTACAAAATCGGCTTCACACATTGAACATATGTGGTTATTCGAACCTGAATGGTCGGACTGACGAGTGAAGGCTCTAAACACCAAGCTACCCAACCTCTCCTGGCAAGAGAAAGAACCGTGTCAAGGACAAAGTTCAAAGATTGGGTTGAAGCAGACTTTTGCCGGCAGCAGGGTTCGTCCCACACCCAACACCCTACAATACGGATAATTGGGTTGACATTAGAAAAAACATCACTGGCTGGAGGAGGGGTACTTCGTGGTGGATACGCATGCGCGGTAAGGGAGTTAAATCTGGATGGTGGTTGTGTCGTATTAGTAATAAAAATCCGAGGATTTTACATTGTAAAATATTCGTATAACACTGTTACAACTGTCATCTGATATTTTCACACGACAGTATTAAGGTCAGTTGTACGCCACGTCATCAATATTCGTGATAGCTAAAATCCAGACAAACAGTATGGCGAATAGTTTACGCCAACAGCTGATAACTATGTAATTTTTAAGTTCATGTCTCACAATGCTGATAAGAAAGTTTTTGTCAGGAAATGTTCAGAATTTGTTTACTTTTGTCCATCTTAATAAAAAGCGTCTTTAAACAAGTAACAGTTCCAGTAATGTTAAATGAAAAGTTAAAAAATGCTCTACATCACTGTTACTGAAGAAACACAAGCATATCTTTGTAATTCGTCAATTATAACTATTTCACTTGATCTGACGAAGTCGTCATAATTGCTTTTACTTGGTAACTTTTGAGGAAAATTTGTTGTAAAGTTTTAAGGATTGTGTCCGAAATGGGCTTCCATGGTTATTTTTTTCCCGAACAACACCCAACTTACTGGAGTCATGACATTTCAGCGTTACCAGTTACCAATGCTGAAACCGGTAGATCGGTGCTGTCATGAATGAAAACTATTTTTAGGGCTCATTTTCGTCTCGATGTTTTTGCATTAGTGCAGAGGCATAGAAAATACGTTTGCTAGGAAGCTTTGTATCAAAACTCTCCTTTGAAGCTCGTGATTTCCAATTCATGACCGCAGGAATACGAAGACGACTTCTCGTTTACAAACACGAATTCTGACATCACGACATTATGTGTAGCGACCGCGTGAACCCAGAAATGATAGGTGCGAGAACATATATGTCCGCGAATTTACATTACACCAGGATAACACCGACTTTACTTTGTATGTGATTTCTTCATTTATATGACTGGTGCTGAAAGTCAAAATTATTAAGTACTAAAGTATTAGTTGATCGACTTGAAGATTTTGGCTCCAGTTATAGTTCGAAGCCATGAACCCTGTCGTATGTTCTTCTATCTTGTACCATAATATACATAGTGAGGAGCATGCTGTTCGGGAACCACAACCGGTATGTCTGGAACCTGTAAATGTTTTAACGGTTCTGTTCTACCAGTAACAGTAAGTGTGAGCATAACGAGAGTTGTAAACATGAAATGGATGGTCCCTTTAAGGCCCGTTTCATGGTGCGACTTGTACATCTACATGCAGATTTAAAAAGCGTATTTAAATGAGTTGATGCGACTTGGAATTTCGCGATAGTCTCGTAGATTGCAAGCAAAGTGGCGTCATCAAGCGACAAGGAGAAGCTGGTGCTGACTGCCGTACATTTGGTAAGTGAAAAGAAAAAGGAAAAAAGAAAACCCAAATGCGTTTTGGTTAGGCAGTGGATACTACTTGTTGAGCGTCTCTCTTAGAATATTTTTAGTGTCCAACATTCCATAAATGTTCTTATGACAAATAATAGTTGATAAAATTCTCAGAGTCAGTCTTCATATTTCTTGGGCTCCATGTTTACAAAGGGACTGAACTCTTGTCGAACCCGGATGCAAATTTGAGCAGAGGAGCAAGCGGTTTGGTTCTGATGTAGATAAGATTGTTGAGCAAACTAAATCAATGGT